GCACACTATGCTGGATAATCCTCCAGATGGCACCCAACCCAAGTGTGGTCTTCTCTTGTGGGCAGCTCCTTAAGACCCGCTTGTTCCTTTTTCCCACAGCCTGTTGAAGATGAAACCAGACCGCTTTCTGAAAAAGAGGTGAAAGCTGGCCCGAGACCATAAAAGAAACCATTTTTCAGACCATTTGGAAAATGAAATTGTTGTAGTTTTTAAAATAGCCTTTCTTCAAATTCTTGTGACTTACTAAAAATGACCATTAACATACTCTGCTCGTTCCATTTTGGTTTTGGTCAGAGTTTTTCTGAACTAAGTTTCACTGAGAACTTTGGTGACATTTCTCCTTTACTTCCTTTTTTTTTTTTTTCCCTCTCTGACGCCTTCTGGACTGAGGCTAAGGGACATGTCATTCTTGACACATCAGCTTCTCTTTTTGACAGAATCGGTTAAGGCTCCATGACTGAATTCACGGTCATCAATCATGGATTCCTTTCAAAGCACTCTAATCATTAATGTGTCAGATTCTGTTGTGAGTGTCACATGTACAAGACTTCTCTGGGGAAACAACACTAGGTAAGATCCTCTCTTCATCCCCAGGAGGCTCTTACTCTGGAAGGAAGGACACACCCACACATCTAAATAACAACAAGAACCACCACAATGGTGATAATCATAGTCTGAGTATTACTGTGTCACTACATTGCAAGCCCTGGACCACTGTGAACTCACAATGCCTGGGGCAGTGTTTTCTGGAATGGCAGATAACACACAAGGTTTCATAAGCAGAGAGCATCTGGGCTGAGCCTCTGGGATCACTATGCTTCATCTAGGCTAAGAGAGTCGCAGTACATGTACTAACCTCTTTATTTTGCTTTGGTGCGCGCGCACACACACACACACACACACACACACACACACACACACACACACACACATGTGTAGGTCAGAAGACAGTTTTCAGGAGTCACTTCTCTCCTTCTACCTTGTTTTTAAGCGTGGTCTCTCTTGTTTCTGCCAAGCTAAATATTCCATGCCTGTGGAATCTAAGATCTAGGTCATTCTCCTGTCTCCATCTCCAATCTTGCTGTAAGAGTGTTGGGATTAAAGATTTATACCACAGCATCCAGTTTGGGGTTTGTTTTGTTTTTTGTTTGTTTGTGTTTTGGATACATGGATTCCAGGGATCAAACCTAGGTCTTTAGGCTTATACACATGGCAAGATGGCAAGAGCCTTTACCCACAGAACCTCTCTCCCATCCCTCATATATTGACTTCTTTTTTTTTTTTGGTTTTCCGAGACAGGGTTTCTCTGCGTAGCTTTGCGCCTCTCCTGGAACTCACTTGGTAGCCCAGGCTGGCCTCGAACTCACAGAGATCCGCCTGGCTCTGCCTCCCGAGTGCTGGGATTAAAGGCGTGCACCACCACCACCCGGCTTTGACTTCTTATTGACCTGATCGGGTCCAGGACCTGATCTTGGCAAACTGAATATCTCAAGCTAAAGGGATTTGAGAAAATAACAGAATCAGGTAGGTTACTCCTGTCCTGAAGTACGTCCTAGACCCTCAACATAGTGGTGCCTCCCCACACCCAAAGGAAGGAAACCGTCTCATTTTGCAGATGCAAGTAAAGAATCTAGACACACATAAGCTGTTAAGTTCCCTCAGTTTACTACAATTAGATCATACACCGTTTATCCAATTATATTTCTTCACGGCCGTCCATTCTTCCATCAATCCTATCACAAAATACACACATTTAACTGTTTTTTCAGTATTTGTTTTCTTATTAGGATTTGCAGAAGACTTACACTAAGTAAACCTGGATGCTTTCCTCTTGTGAATATATGTTTGCTAAAAGTATTCTAAAATTTAACCGGGGGGGGGGGGGGGGGGGGGGGGCGGCGGCGGCGGCGGCAGCAGCAGCAGCGAACGCCTTTAATCCCAGCACTTGGGAGGCAGAGGCAGGCGGATCTCTGTGAGTTCGAGGCCAGCCTGGTCTACAGAGTGAGTTCCAGGAAAGTTGCAAAGCTGCACAGAGAAACCCTGTCTCAAAAAACAAACAAAAAAATTATTCTTTGATCAGGTCACACATGTACATATGTTGATCACATTCCTTCCTCATGACCCTCTTCTTCTGTGCTCCATCCTACGCCCTCTGGACCCTTTCTTCTATCTCACAAGCCCCTCCTGCTTCGATGTCAATTTGTTTGGTCTTTTTTAATGACTGTGTGAGTTTAATTAGTGTTGTTTGCATGAATGTGAATGTGGATTTGATTTGCTGGAGCGTGGGTAACTTACCAGTGACCACGTCACTGGAGAATGACTTTACATCCCTCAGCTGCCGTTCACTGCCAAGAGCGCCTCTGCCAGGGGTGGTGCCCCGCCCCAAACTCGTACTCATCTGTCTTATCTGATAGAGGTACCCACCATGAACCTAGCAATGGATAAGGAAAAGAAGTCTCTGCTCTTATAACCCCTTACAGTCCCACACTGCATTTTAGATGACTTATAATTTTTTTTGAAGCAGCCACAAATAGATTGTCAAAACAAGAATTCAAACACTGAGGGGAAGGGGAGTCTACATGAGAGAATCTAGACTAAGAATATTTTCTAAAGTCCAGGTGAAATGTGGTGTCACGGCAGTTTTAGGTATCCACGGCTTCATAACTTGATCTTCTCTAGGAAAATAAAAGATACGTATGCTTAGCCTGAACTCTAAGGAGATTAGCAAAGTGAATCTCTACCCAGGGGAGAATGACTGTTTCCCATGGATGCAGGAAGGAGAAGCCGTGATCTAAGGATACACTTTGAGATGCTCTACCTGTCACTCGATTGTGGCAGAGCTAGAGTGTTTTCCAAACCCCAGGGTATGAATGGTCCAAATACACAAATGCAGCTGGTCAGGGGTGGGGACTGAGCTCCTCCACGTCTCCTGAGAAACTGAGGCTGAGAGCACTGGTTCTCAATCCCAGGCACACATGAGAATCCCCCAGGCTCTGACCTGTGCCTTTGGACTTCACATACTCATCCTAGGAGTTTAGCTGAATAAGCAGATCCCAGGCAACACTCTTACTGCTGACCACCCCACAACCACATTTTAAGGACCACTGGCTTAGAACATCCCTCATGAACACGAGTAAGTGGTCCCTCGTGGGCTTTACATAAAGGCTGGGAGCCACAGACTTTAAGATGAAACAAACCGAGATGGGTCTTCTGAGAATAGGCTGCAAGCTTAGATGAAGGAGAGATCCATTGTTTTAGATGATGAAGATAAGACCAGCTAACGGTTTCTGACATTGTCTCTGTACACTGAACTAAGGTGTAATGTCCATTATCTTACTTGGCATCTGGCCTGGATACCAGAGTTGGTGTCTGATGTGTAGCCCAGAAGCCAGCTGTGTGCACGCCGAGAGGGGGTGTCAGGTTTCTGCAGGCTGCTGTGGCTGGCGGGGCTACCTGCGTGCAAGGCCAGACTGTCTCACAGGAAACACCTTTAGATCTGGACAAGCAGTCCCCAGAGACCTGAGTTCTGCCTCACAGAACCTGCAGGAAACAACTGAGAGACTGTGAGGGCAAGCGCTAACCATCGTCTCTCTCAACCACAGAAGAACCTGCATATGAGGCCGTTTGCCAGCCCTGGAACACCCAGAAGCCCCTGAACACCTGGGACCCATCCTTGAGCAAGAGATGAACGTGATCTGGAGAGACATCTGGACAGAGACATTTCTAGAGTGTCCCCAGGCAGATTGGGAACAACTGGCTAAGGTTTGATCTGAGACCATATGAAGGGGAGGCAAAAGCCAGAGTTAACAAAACAGATCTTTAAGGGCTCGTTAAGTCTGTCCCTCGCTAATCTTCATTTTCTTTCTTCTCAAGACAGGGTTTCTCTGTGTGACACACACAACTGAAATCATTCCAAATCCAATGACAAGCATAATAAATGCCCTTTTCTAAACAGTAGATATGAAGGGATAGATTTCTTTTAGAAATTACAGTAACTAATTACAGTAACTATTATACATATTATAGGATAGTTATTATAATTTCCACAATAATAAAGAATATTTTGTACCTGGAAAGCTCTTCATGAATTTTCAAGTCCTTTGTTATTAAATCTGTACAGTAAATGTTGCCTTGAGTTTAGAACTGTAGCGCTAACACTTTAAATGTTACATAATAAAAATAGCCCGTTTAAAATTGGGTGTGATGGCTAACACCTGTAATGGCAGTAGTATTGCCATAAATTCATGGACAGCCTGCTCTAAATAGTAGGCCTGAACTACAAAGTCTTTTTTTTTAAAGCTATTTAACTATTCAAACATAAAGAGACTTAAAATACTTCTGAGTTTGAGCCCCACAGGTTTACCTGGTGAAAGCTCCTGTGGGCATGCCGCACGTTAGCAACCTGTCAGCTTTATGGTTATAAAATCAGACTCATGATGATCAAGAGATGGGGAGGGGCTGGGCGTAGTGGTGCACACCTTTAAACCACCATCCAGGAAGCAGAGGAGGGCGGATCTCTGTGAGTTCGAGGCCAGCCAGAACTACATAGTGAAACCCTGTCTCAAGAGGAGAGATAGAGATAGAGATAGGGAGAAAGAGATGAGAGAGACAGAGAGACAGAAAGACACAGAGACAGAAAGACAGAGAGAGAAAGGCTCCGAGTGTATACAACAACCCCCTCTTAGATTCAGTAAAACCGAGAATTGGAGATATTTGGAATCTGCTTATGTTTCTGTCCCTCACAAACAGGACAAGATTGAGAAAACAGCACAAATATACTCCAGCAGATGACAACACAGCACTGGGTGCATTTGTCTTGTGTGTGGACAGACAGACACACGTTAAAGGAAAGACAGACTTTGTGAGTTTGAGGTCAGCCTGGTCTACAGAGTGAGTTCCAAGAAAGGCGCAAAGCTACAGAGAGAAACCCTGTCCCCCCACCCCCCGAAAGAAAGAAAGAAAGAAAGAAAGGAAGAAAGACAGACAGACAGACAGACATGTGCAGTCAAGTCAAATTCAGTCCCTGTCCCGTCATGGCAGGAGCTGGCCCAGATGGCTGCCACCACAGATTCTGCTGCTCGTGGGCCCTGGGTCCCCTGTCCTGGGACCTGGGGATAAGTTTGGCTGCAGACATTGTACTGTCGACACAGGAGTCCTTGGGGCAGACAAGAGGCAGGTCCTGTTCAGATGGGCCTGTGTTGTTTCAACACAGACCTAGTTGCTTTTTAAGAAGATTCAGGCCGGGCGGTGGTGGCGCACGCCTTTAATCCCAGCACTCGGGAGGCAGAGCCAGGCGGATCTCTGTGAGTTCGAGGCCAGCCTGGGCTACCAAGTGAGTTCCAGGAAAGGTGCAAAGCTACACAGAGAAACCCTGTCTCGAAAAAACCAAAAAAAAAAGATTCAGAAGACTCTTGGCTAGTTTTCTGATGGTTACTAAGCTGTCGGGGTGGGCAGTATTCAGCAGTAATGAGCTAAACAGCTCCAGGTCTTTCTTCCCTTTTTTTCGGGTCCAAAAAAAAAAAAAAAAACAGACTTAAAACAAGTAACTATGCCAGACAGCAAGTCTTTAACCCCAGCACTGGGGAGGCAGAGGCAGGCAGACCTCTGTGAGTTCGAGGCCAGCCTGGTCTACAGAGTGAGTTCCAGGATACAGAGAAATCCTCTCGGGAAAAAAAAAAGGCACTACAATAAAAATCAGAACTTCAGATACAAAATCTCCACAAATAATCAAGCAAATAAAAATAACTAAAGCTTTTATAAATGTTTTAATTAGTAATCTTGAAATTAAACTCAGGTGTAGCATGAATCTTAACAGTTCTTATTAATAAGATCAAACCTGAAGCCAGTTATTGGGGTGAATAAAGGAAGATCAGAGAGACAGAACAAGCCACAGCTAACCTCACCTGGCCAACTTCTCAGCTGGTCTTGTTTCCTCAGACTGGAAGCTTCTGTGTCCTCATCCCAATGGCTCTCAGCTGAACTGTGCTGCTAGAAGCCTGAATCTTAACCAGCCAAAATGCTTAACCAGGCCAAATGCTTCTAGTTTCTGGTCCTCACGCCTTATAAACCTTTCTGCTTTCTACCACCACACCCTGGGATTAAAGGCTGCTTTCTGGGATTAAAGGCGTGAGTCACCATGCCTGGCTGTTTCCAATGTGACCTTGAACTCAGAGATCCAGAGGGATTTCTGTCTCTGGAATGCTGGGATTAAAGGCATGAGTGCCACCATTTTCTAGCCTCTGGATCTAGTGGCTGTTCTGTTCTCTGACCCCAGATAAGTTTATTAAGGTACACAATATTTTGGGGAACACAATACCACATTTCCTCTCTTTTTGTCTAAAATTAAAAAAAGGCTTATAACTAATACAAGAAAAACTATCCAATAAGTATATACAATATATACAGTCAAGATTACATTAACTATGTCTAGTCCATTAACATTTGACAGATTCAGATAAAAACTCCATTATATATATTAACAATGTCCAGTCCAGTAACATCTGATAAACTCAGACCAAAAAATTTTCATTACTTATCTTATTTAAAACAATTAGCTCCTTTTTAAAAGTAGATTCCATAATCTCCCTTTTTATCTTATCATATCCATATTCTCTCTTTTTTCTTTTCAGTAGTCTACCTTTTGTCATTTTTATATCTTCCCCTTTTTCTTCAGTGTAGATTCAGTGATCTACCTATTTATCCTATTATTTCTTTATCTTTTTTCTCAGAGTAGATTCAATGATCTATCTCATATCTTATTTTCTTTTTCTTTTTGCTTTCTAGGGGTGAAGACATCTTTAGGGAATCTTGAAGAGAAAATTTTTGGGTTAATTGTCAAGTCCTGTATCATTTCTCCAGTCTCTGCATAAAAAGAAAGTTCAGGGCTTGTCTCAAGTCCTTGCTCGAGTAGTCTGTCAGGCTGGATCATCTCAGCTAGTCATCTCGAAATTGTCCTGGCCAGTTTGTAGTCCAAGGTAGATCTTTCCTTGGTGTTAACCAGCTTAATGGCTTTACCATAGTCCATGTGGAATCATCATTGTGGAGTCCTGTTGTCTTTTTGAAGATTTCAAAGTTACTGTTAGGCGTGGTCATGGTTCCCTGCAGACTTTTTTTTTTTTTTTTTTTTTTTTTGCCTCTGTGGTTTGGAGCAATCACAGTCTGATAAATGTCTATCTCTCGGAACCATGAACATTCTTCCCTAGAAAAGAATATTGTCGCAGCAATTTCTCCGCACCATTTGTCTTGCCAAACTTTTCCAAACTGACCTTTGCCGATGCTTTCTTGTAACACGATGGTCCTGGCAATTCTTCTCTGAACAAGCTGTAGTAAACCCTTCATCCCAGGTAGCAGCATCACCGCAGTCACCAACACGATGAGAAGTAGCCAGCAACGTGGAGCAGCAGTCACTGCCTCCATGGTCCCACTACCGTTTGTCACTGGGTCCCAGGCCGAAGCGTTTCCTTAGCAAACCTCCTAGGCCGGCCTCAAATGTGGTATCCTCCTGCCTCTGTTTCCTTCAGTAAATCCTACCAGCGTGCTCCACCACAACCGGCCGAGTGTAGCTCGGGCCTGAGCTGGGGCCCACAAGCACCTTTTTCATGAATTCATACCACGAACGTTGGGCACCAGATGTAGCAGGAATCTTAGAGAGTCTTATTAATAAAATCAAACCTGAGCCAGGTAATGGGGTGAACTGGAAGATCAGAGATACAGAACAAGCCACAGCTATCTCACCTGGCCAATTCCTCAGCTGGTCCTGTTTCCTCAGACTGGAAGCTTCTGTGTCCTCATCCCAATGGCTCTCAGCTGAACTGCTGCTAGAAGCCTGAATGCTTAACCAGCCAAATGCTTAACCAGCCAAATGCTTCTAGTTTCTGGTCCTCACGCCTTATAAACCTTTCTGCTTTCTACCACCACTCCCTGGGATTAAAGGCTGCTTTCTGGGATTAAAGGCGTGAATCACCATGCCTGGCTGTTTCCAATGTGGCCTTGAACTCAGAGATCCAGAGGGATTTCTGTCTCTGGAATGCTAGGATTAAAGGCGTGAGTGCCACCATTTTCTAGCCTCTGGATCTAGTGGCTGTCTGTTCTCTGACCCCAGATAAGTTTATTAAGGTACACAATATTTTGGGGAACACAATACCACCACACTCAGGAATTACTTTTTTTTTTTTTCTTCGAGACAGGGTTTCTCTGTGTTGTTTTGGTGCCTGTCCTGGATCTCACTCTGTAGACCAGGCTGGCCTTGAACTCACAGAGATCTGCCTGGCTGTGCCTCCCAAGTACTGGGATTAAAGGCATGTGCCACCACCGCCTGGCAGGGAATTGCTTTTTTATAGTAATTTTAAAATTTATTTATTTATTCACATCATGCCTCCAGATCCTACCCATCTCCCGCCTCACCCCAAAATAAATCAAAATAAAATTTAAGAGAAAAAGAGGAAAAAGAAAAAAAAAGAAGGAAGAAGGAGAAAGTCATGGAAGCTGCAGTGTGACTCAGTAGGTCACACGGTAAACCCCTTTGTCCATCCATCTTTACATGCAGGTGTTTATTGAAAAGAATCTTTGCTCTGGTTTGGGTGCTGTGTGTCATGGAGATCCTGCAGCCCTGGCTCCATGGGACTGATACACACACCCCACTCCCAACCCCCGCACCCCATTCCCCAGCAGATCACAGGTGGGTGGATGTCGGGTGGGCAAATACATAACCCTGGTTCTGGGACTGGGACTGGGTAGTTGCAGCCCACCAGCTCTCCCCTGTCTTCACCACCAGTGTGAGCTCTCCAGCACTGCCCTGGCCAGTGTCACCCCTTGCAGTGATGGGGTGGGGCCAACTCTCCCGACTTCACATCCTCAGGGTCTGTGCTGCCAATGAGAGGTATGGGGGCCACTCTCCCAAGTGCTGCAGCTGATGAGGGGCAGGGCCAGCTTTCTGGCTCTTAAGACCTCAGGGCCAGCTCTCCCACCTGCCTCGGGCATTGATGAGGGAGTGCATCTCTCCCCAGCCCATGTTGCCTCAAGACAGATGAGTAATGGGGACAGCCCTCCCATGCTCACAACCTCAGAGCTGAGGAATCACTTTTTAAAAAATGTTTTTGTTTGTTCTTGAAGAATTTCATACAATACATTTTGATCATATTCTTTCCTCTCCCCCATCTCCTCCCAGACTCTCCTCCACCTCCCTACCCACACAGGTTTATGTTCTTTCTCCCTCTTAAAGCAAGCAAACAGAGAAAAAACATGGAGTCCGACTTGTCTTTTGGACTGCTCCTAGGAATTGCTTCTTAAGGAAGGACAGCAGACAATACTCAGTCCCTGAAAACTCGTGTCTCCAGTTATTGCCCCAGGTGAGAAGCTATCCCCACTCAGAGGTGTGAAGAAGACCAGGGACATTCCTGCTACCCACCATCTGCCACAGGGCCATTGAGTTTTCCTTCTCTCCAAAAGGAAACCTTTTTCCCACCCCCAGTCACACCCAGCAGCTCCTGGCCGCCTAGCTGATGGGTCTGAGCACTCGGAACCTCTGAGGTAGACCTGCATCCCCAGAACAGAATATCATCAGTTCTGTTGGTGGGCATGTGAGTGGTTGGCAGACTGAACAATTACAAATAATGCCTCTGCAACTGTATGTATATTGTTGCACAGTCAGACTTCCTCGTCAAAAATCCACTCTCTAGCAGGAATCCTCAATGCAGATTCCTTTTCCCATTTGCTTAGAGAAAAAAAAAAAATCTTACCTATTTGGTGCCTTTCTTTTTCTCACAACTTGCAAGCAATCCATTATCAAATCTTCTTAACTCTTCTGTTAAACTGTGTCCAGAATATAACCGTCTCTGTTCCCTGCCCTGGTCTAAGAATCCTTTTCCTCTTCCCTGTACTAGTTAGAGTGGCATCCTAACTGATTTCACCCTTGTCTCTCACAGTTTATTCTCAGCAGAGCAGACAGAGAGACCCTGTTAAAATATGAGCCAGATCCTGTCATTCTCCAGGTTAGGCCATGCAGTGGCTTCCCGTCTTAAAGTCAATCAAACTCCAAACAGACTTCTCTGTTCCGTCCACCCACTTACATATTTCTTTGCTTGTGGAGACCGGGGAGGGGGGTGTTTACTACATTGCCAGGCTAATCTCAAACAGGC